ATCCTGTAATAAATCCCATGTAACACTCTCTTACAGAAATGTCCCACCGCTCCAGTGGTGTGCGATTACCCACATTGTAGCAAGTCAATAAACCGAATTTTGTTGATTATGGGTACGTTCCTTTCTTTTGCTGGAATGCCTTGTCCTGTCATGTAATTCTCAAAGCAACCCAACTATGTTCAGTTTAAAGGTGAAGAAAATAAGGCTGCGAGATGCTAAGTCACTTAGAAAAAGTTAATTATTTGGAGTAGTTTTCAAACATGTATTCTACATCAGCTCCATGCAGTGGGAAATGTAAGCTAGCACACTTTAAAACTGTTATAGTTAGTGTTTGCAGTTTATCTTAACTCTCACATTTATACATAATAAAATACTGGTTCAAATAAATACATGACTGCTTGAAGGTACATAGATAGAGCCAAGAGCACAGACCTTAAACCAGGTGCCACTTTATGGTAACGTGGCCTTGGTTATGATCCTTTGACTATTAGGAATATTTCTGAGGCAGTGGAGCTTAGAGGTGATGATAATGGATTTTGGGGTCAGAGTGATTTGGTTTACAGTTCTGTAGGGCACTTGTATGACCTTTGACACTTTATTAAACTCTCTGGGCTTCAGTTTTCTCAAATGTGAAATGGGAATAACAATCATACCAACCTCATAGAGTAATTGTGAGGACTGTATTAATACATACACTGTGCTTAGACCAGTATGCGTTGCTTAGCAAATGCTCAGGTAAACAGGTCTTTAATTGTAGCTACAATTCAAATTAAAGTTTCTGAAGCTCCACAACCCCAGTGTGTTTGTTTGTGTCTGTGTGTGTTTTAAAAACAGGCAGTTCTTATCAGCTTCTCAAAGGAAGAATAATAATATTAGGTGGGATTCAGCACATTATCAGAGAAAGTAATTGACTAAAATGTTGAGGGGAAATAGTCTCTTTGTATTTCTGAAGTGAGTCAAGACATGTGAAAGTGCATGAGTTTATGAGAATGGTGGGAAGATTAGGGTCACATTTTCAGAAACAGAGGTCAAGAGTCTAGGTTCAAAAGTCACTAACAAGGGACTAGAAGTGGAAAGGGAGGGTGATGAGATAGCAATCATTTGGGAAAGACTTCTCTGAGCCAACTTCTGCAGGTGAGAGGTAAACTTGGATTCCCAGGAGTCTCCCCTGAGCCTGATTCCCACCTGCCTCTGGCTTCCTTCTGCCACTTGTGGCAAAAATAATCGGTGTTAACTCTGGGGACTCTGCCTCAGGAGGATAAGATTTGCTGTAAAGGAGAAAAGGCTCATAGATCCAGTTTCCATCTCCCACACACATACTGATCCAGGCAAGATCGAAGCAGACACTGGATGATGATCGGTGGCTGGTAGGTGAACTAGGGAGCACATTTACTGTATTAATCAGCGATTGGAAAGGTGGCACACAATAAGGGATTTGAAAACATACTACTTGGAAATGTAACAATTGATTTAGTGGAAATGTGACTTAAGTAACTGGGACTTAAAATAATTCCATTTTGATCATCTTAGAGTATTAGATTTGGAAGAGACTTTAAAGGCCATCTTGTCCACCATTCCCTCCATTTGATTTGTCATTTATTCTACAACCAAGAGATTAGCAATCATTTACTTTTAAAATGTTGATAGACAAGAAATTGTCTTGTGTGCTGTCGCAGATTGGTCAAGTGCTGACACAGATGGTAGAAAGTAGAGGTTTCTAAAACAATTTTCATGAGATAGAGGCTACGACTGAGAACACCTGATGAGGTATAGACAGTTCCCAATGAACGATGATTCTACTTACAGTTTTTCTACTTTACAATGGTGTGAAAGCAATATACATTCAACAGATTAGTACATGAGATAGTCAATACTTTATTATAAAATAGGTTCTGTGTTAGATGATTCTGCCCAACTGTAAGGCTAATCTGAGTGTTCTGAGCACATATAAGGGACGCTAGGCTAGCATATGGTGTTTGGGTATTTTATATGCATTTTCAACTTATTATATTGTATTCTCTCAGGAGAAACTGCATTTGAAAATGCTTAACCTGGAGAAGGCCTTACACAGACTTTCTATCTGGAAGATTACAGACATTTGGTCATGCAATAATTTGGGGTCCAGATGGCTTTAGGTTGCTCCTGAAATTATTAAGTTTGATAGACCTTACTTGATCTACACATACAGTTGGCTTCGGAAAAGCTAACTTGTATAAAGGGGAAACATTACCAATAATAGTTTCTTACACATGAAAGATGATCAAAACTATTTCTTGAGTTTAATTTCTCTGAGTCGGTGGGAGTAACGATGGGTCTTTCAACAAGTTTAGGGAAAGTTGAAGCCAGACTAAATTTGAGATGCTAACTTTATTAGAATACTGTAAGCTTTGAACTGCTAAGATGACAACAAAAAGGATACATTCAGGTGAAATAGAGAAAATGTAACTTGAATTTAGGCTAGAATAAAACATCGAGTTCGCAATTATATACTTACTGTCCTAGGGAAATACATAATACATTAGCAGGGAAATACATAATAACTAATGAAGTACTACATTTATTCTCAAAAATCTTAACACCTTATGGGGAAGACAGACTTAAAAAGGCAACAACATACTAAAATGTAAGTATTATGAGGGCATAGAAAAGGAATAAATAATTCTTTTTTTGAGGAATTCAGCAGAAGAATATATAAGGAGTTGAGATTTGATCTGATTTTGAAGGCTAAGAAGCAGTTCCCAGATGGAGAAGAGAGATGACCTAGAAGCAAATGAAATGTAATGAAGCAAGAATTCCCTTTTTAACATATTTGTCTCCTATAATTGGAGAGGTGAATATACAGTCTCTTTAGGTTAGAGTAAAATCAAGAAGAGTCTTTTCAGTATCAATTGCTTTCAATGAGTTTAGCATTCTAAAATATCAAACCCAGAAGTTTATTTCTACTGCAGGGCATTTGAGTTTGGAAGAAATGTTTTGAGTTGGGTGAGTGGTAGAGTTGCAGGGAAAGTACTGGTCTACTAATTATTAATATAATTGTTTAAATTAATTCATTTGGTTATTAAAATCCTATTCAGTACTTTTTTTTTTTTTGAGACAGAGTTTTGCTCTTGTTACCCAGGCTGGAGTGCACGATCTCGGCTCACCGCAACCTTTGCCTTCTGGGTTCAAGCAATTCTCCTGCCTCAGCCTCCCGAGTAGCTGGGACTACAGGCGCGCACCACCATGCCCAGCTAATTTTTGTATTTTCAGTAGAGACGGGGTTTCACCTTGTTGACCTGGATGGTCTCGATCTCTTGACCTCGTGATCCACCCGCCTCAACCTCCCAAAGTGCTGGGATTATAGGCGTGAGCCACCGCGCCCGGCCCTATTCAATACTTTTAATGTGACAGCCGTTGTGATGAGTGTCCGGATGATGAAAATAAGCAAGAGGCTTGTTTGTCCGTATGATGCTCGAATTGGGCAGTTCTCTTCAAATGCAGTATGAGCTACACAGGGTACAGTATGACTGGCACTGGCTATCATTTTATGCATTTAAAGTTGCAATGTGTTTTTTGTTGTTCTTTTCTTTTTGGATTTGTTTCACATTTTGCTTAATAATAATTAGAATGTCCAATACTGTTTTATATAAAATTTCACCAAGCCAACTATATACTCTTCACCTGTACTTATATAATTGATTTTCTGAAAATACAGGATTCATGTTTATCGCCAGTGTATCATGTTTGTTTTTGAATCTGCATTCTTACACCAAATGTGATAACCTCCCTAAACTATCTTCCTGTCAGCAACACCCACAAGGCAAATTCATGCCTTCAGCCCTGAGCTTGAATAAGAATAGTTGAATTTTAGTTATGGTTTTAAAATCTACATCTGACCAGGTCACTCATCTATCAAACATTCCTTAGTGATGCCCTGCGTCTACTGAGATAAGGTCTAAAAGCATTGAGTGAGCTTTCCCAGTTTGCTTACCATACAGGGGAAGATATGTTTCCCTAATGAGTAGCTTGCTGCTCATTGCTTTTATTCTTGAAATATTTATTTTTCTCTTTATATATATATATATTATATATATATATAAAGAGAATATATATAATATATATAATATACAATATATTTTATTGCATTTTAGGTTTTGGGGTACATGTGAAGAACGTGAAAGATTGTTACATAGGTACATACATGGCAATATGGTTTGCTGCCTTCCTCCCCATCACCTATATCTGGCATTTCTCTTTTATCTAGCTGATCCAAGTACTTCTTGGAAAATTCATCTTACATGCATTCTCTAAACGCTTTTTATTCAGTCATCCTGGTCTGAGAAACGAGCCACTTTGCAGGCCCTCTGAAGTGTTCTGTACCTTACAAATCCTATTGAAATGTCTGCTTCTCTACAGGGTTATAAGCTTTCTGGTGGCAGAGATTGTACCTTGTTGAATTTCGTGTTCCTTCTGCCTGACACATATTTGTTCAATAAATGTTTATAGAGGTGAACTGAACAGTAAGAAAAGATTTGCTACTCTAATAATCTCATACCCCAAATTCACTCTTTAATAATTAGCTGAAGGAAAAACTATGACCTGGAAACAGGAGTTAGAATGCTTAGAAACAGTCAGATAGTATAAAGCTAGAATGTTTGAGGATGGTCTAAATGTTATTTCTGAGAAATAGTATCTACAGGAAATAAAAAAGTGTTATAATCAATTTTTCTCTCTATTCCCGAGTTTTCTTATTTGCAAAATAGGCAAAACAATGGTGCTTATCTCATTGAACTGTAAAAATTAATACTGAATTCAAGACACTTGTAAAAATGTTTGACGAATAGTAAGTGCTAATAAGAATTAGCTATTATTTTTGCAGTAATAATAATAGTAGTGGGAGTAGTAGTTGCAATTTACGTGCTACTTTTAAGTTAAATAGAGAGAGAAATGAGGTTTTGGCATGGATTCAGCAGTCCCCTTAATCCAGTGTTTTCTTCTTTCCTTCTTTACCTCAGCCTCCCATGGATCAATACAACCATTCAAGCCTGGCTGAATTTGTGTTCTTTGGCTTTGCCAGTGGGGGCTATGTCGGGGTCTGCCTTTTTGTCCTGCTCCTGTTGGCATACCTGTTCACCATCTGTGGCAACATGCTCATCTTCTTAGTCATCCGACTGGAATCAGCCCTGCACACACCCATGTACCACTTCGTCAGTGTTCTCTCCTTCTTGGAGTTGTGGTATACGGCTACCACCATCCCTAAGATGCTAGCTAATATTATCAGTGAGAAGAAAACCATTTCTTTTGCAGGATGCCTCCTTCAGACCTATTTCTTTCACTCCTTGGGAGCCTCTGAGTGCTACCTTCTTACAGCCATGGCCTATGATAGATACCTGGCCATTTGTCGGCCCCTCCACTACCCTGCAATTATGACGACCACCCTCTGTGCCAAGATGGCTGCCGCTTGTTGGACTTGTGGCTTCCTGTGTCCAATTTCTGAGGTCATCCTGGTCTCCCAGCTCCCATTCTGTGGTTACAACGAAATCCAACACATTTTCTGTGACTTTCCACCTTTGCTGAGCTTGGCCTGCAAGGACACATCCACTAACATTCTGGTGGACTTTGCCATTAATGCTTTCATAATTCTTACCACTTTCCTCTTTATCACGATTTCTTATGCAAGGATCATTGGGGCTGTGCTGCAGATAAAAACTACGGCAGGAAGAAAGAAGGCCTTCTCTACCTGTGCCTCACATCTTGCTGTGGTCCTCATCTTCTTTGGGAGCATCATCTTCATGTACGTGCGACTAAAGAAGAGCTATTCACTGACCCTTGACCGGACACTTGCTGTAGTTTACTCCGTACTAACACCAATGGTCAACCCAATTATCTACAGTCTTCGTAACAAGGAACTCATTAAAGCCATCAGGAGGACCATCTTCCAGAAAGGGGATAAAGCTCGTCTTGCTCATCATTGACTTTCTTCCAAGGTCCCTTCTCACTTTTATATTCAATTCATAAAAGCTCTATGTTCCTTTAGCTTGGCCTTGAATAATCTTCCCATCATCACACATGCTCTGAATTTCATTTCCTTTCACCTCTTCAAAGACTTAATTTCTTTATGGTTTTCTTGTTTTCTACATCTTTACTTTTTCCATTTTTTTTTTTTTTGAGATGGAGTTTCGCTCTTGTTACCCAGGCTAGAGTGCAATGGCGCCATCTCGGCTCACCGCAACCTCCGCCTCCTGGGTTCAGGCAATTCTCCTGCCTCAGCCTCCTGAGTAGGTGGGATTACAGGCATGCACCACCATGCCCAGCTAATTTTTTGTATTTTTAGTAGAGACAGGGTTTCACCATGTTGACCAGGATGGTCTCGATCTCTTGACCTCGTGATCCACCCGCCTCGGCCTCCCAAAGTGCTGGGATTACAGGCATGAGCCACCGTGCCCGGCCCTTGCTTTTTCCATTTTTTACTTGATCACTTATGTCAGCATTTAAGAATATTATAGTATCTATATTCTTTTCAAAAAAAAAAAAAACATGTATATTTCCTTGGCCACATGTGTCCATCCAGCTAGAGATCAATTTCTCTGCTCCTTTTTCCAATCAAACTTCTCAACACACCATATCTCCTCTTCTTGACTTCATATTCACTTTTCAACCCTTTCCAATCTTATTTTGACTTAGACCTTCCGGCTAATATTTTGTGAAGGTCATTATTGACCTCCATGCTACCAAATCCGTTAGGAAATTATTTTCCTCCTCTGACCTGAACTCTTGACACATGACCAGTTTCTATGCCATTGATCTTAGCTTTTTATTCCTTAACTCTCATGACACCATCACCTCCCAATTTTCTTCTTATCTTTCTAGTGAGTCTTTCCCAGCCTTCATTGTCCTGCCTGCTATCTCCTTAGATGCTCAGAGTTATTCTCATGGATTTAAATACAATCTCTATCATAAGGGCTGTTACATTTTTATCTCCAAACTACAATTTTTCTCTAAATTCTGGACTTATATGTTCAAATTCCTACTTATCAACACTACCTGGATTGGAATTCTCAATAATTTAAAACTTAACATGTCAAAATGATTTCTTAAAATTTCTAACCATAAAAGCTTGACGCTTTTGTTTCCCTGTGTTTCTTTTGGAAAATTTCAAATGCTCTATCTTACTTCCTTTTCTTGCACCCATAATTCCAATAAATTGTTAATGTATTCTAATCTTTTCACAAAATATATTCTTAGAGCAATTTATTTCTTATTCTCTTTGGTGTTGCTCCCCTGGTATAAATCCCCAATATCTTTCAACTGGATTCGTATAATAAAATTCTACCCACACCCCTTTCTTCTACTCTCATTCTAGCCTAATATATTTTTTCCACATAAAATACAAAGAAATGTATTTGAAACCCAAACTGTATAAATCATTTTATAAAAACATGAGAAATTCTCAATTACCTTTAGGATAAAATTGAAAGCCTCGCCATACTTTATAGGGCTAAACAAAATTCTTCCCTGCCTTCCTCTCCAACATAGACTTACACCGCTTCTCCCTCAGCTCCCTCTTTCCTAGTTACATGATTATTCTTTCAGGTCTTCAAATACATTATGGATTTTTCTGGCTTCAGGTCTTTACCCTGTTTTTTCCCCAACATTTCATTTGGCTCACTCTTCCTAATTGTGTGAGTTTCTGTTCAAATATCAATTTCCAGACATTACCTTTGAGAGGACTTCTGAACACTCAATCTAATTTATGTCACTCATTTTTATCTCTGATGTATGTTTTGCTTTTCCTCAAAATATGTATCACAATTTATACATTTGTGGACATTTGTGTATGTATAGATATAGTTATAGAGAGATATAGTTTGTCATTCTTTCCTGCAAGTATCTATAAACCGGAGTTTGTCTCAAATTATTTCAGTTTTGTTATTCATTACATGTCCAGAATCTAGCACAGAGCCTAAACTAGATAAATATTTGATGCAAGTATAATAAATGAAACATGTAATGAATCTTCCCCACATCTGTCAATAACATATTTGGCCTTGAACAACGACATCATGAATCTAATCATTACTGAAACCCACTCTTCTGTAGAATGCTTCGGTCTTCCCTAGTTGTACTCACTTGTTTTCTGAACATCCCACCTCAACTTGTCTCACATCTGCCTTTTGAATTTCCTTGGATAGTACTGGTAACTAGTTTTTAGTTAGCTACGGTGTATCACACTAGGTTATCTTTTCTGGACCTGTTATTTTTTTTTTTTTTTAGCATTATATGGTTATATGTAAACATACATTCTCGTGTCATTTGGGGAAATGCCTAAGTGTAGGATTGCTGGGTCAACATGATGAATATATGTTTATATTTAACTATCTGTGTTCCAAAGACTAGTGCTTTTTGGGTCCCTCAGCTGCAGTGCAATATGGGGAATGTGTGGTGGGAGTCCATTCAGCCTGGGCAGCTTTCCTGAGCTGTGGGAATAGACTTGTCATGAACCCTGGGCTTCTGTTTCTCATTGCTTCCTGTCCATGAGTAATAAATCTGCTTTTCCTTATTTGTTCTGTGAGTGTTTTGTCTCACCACATTCATGAACTTGGTAGAGAACCTTTGCATAGATAGGCATGTCCTTTACCACAAATCTTCCCTGCTGTTCTCCACACAATTTTATCATATATTTTGGTAAAATAAACACACAGTACATTACTTCTATATATAGCCAGTTATTTTCTGTGAACAGTGGTGGTAAAAGACAAGAGGTTGAGTTGTTAATGAGGACTGAGGAAGTTAATGGAGCTGCAGGTTCAAGACATGTGATGCCATAAAAGGATAGGTAGTTATGTACTAAAGTCTGCTCATAGTTTTTGAGAAAGGATTGATAACTTATTAGAAATTCCGTGGAACCAATAGCTTGGAATCAGATACAGTGGGAGTATTAGCACTATGCCAGTCAGCAAATATTATAAATCAGGGTCTTTTTAAAAATAGCAGGTTATATCAAAGCTAAATAATGGCAGACACTAAGGTGGTAAGAATAGATTTGATTAATAATAGATGAATATAATTGTGAATACACACACACATACACACACACACACACACACACATAAATTATTTTGGTAGCTTTGAATTTTCTCAGGCAGGTACTTAAAGAGGTGCTAGGTTTATCTATGGCCTTGAGCCCTTAGAAACTATATTAGTGTTTGTTTAATTCTTTTAATACATGTGGTTTGGAAGGGAAGGTGGGGAGGGTGTATAAAATCATTTTTGCTGATAGTCTATAGATTTTGTAGGCCAAGGTTGAGGTTTAGTCAAAAAGAGAGCTAGCTTTCAATGAAGTAGAAAATCTTTGTTAGAGGAAAGTCAGTTGTGAAGCATTTACCCCAACACAAATAGAGATAGGATATCAGTTGGAGGGGCAGTAGCAGAATTGGTGGACATCTTTTAGAAGCAGAGGATATTCTAGTTCACAGAAAAGAAGTAATTGAAATGAAATTGACAGAGTTGGAAAATTTAGTTTAAAAGGTAGTGGTTCTTTAACCCTTAATTGCCTTACAGGAATTTAGAAAACCTGAATAAACCGGTAGTCATTAAGTAAATAAAATTATTAGTTAAACTCTATGTATACTAGTCAAAAAATAACAGTTTGCCTCAAATATTGTTATTAATTAAAAATCTATTTACCACAAATAAAATATTAAATACTTGCAACTCAATTTGGAAAAAAATTCTTCAAGAAAGAGATTAGGAGATCAAAAAATATAAGCTTGGATGAAGAACATTGAAAGTGTGAGGGGAACTGGGAAAATGGCAAAAATTAGTTAATTATTCTCACAGTTGATATTATAGTTTGTAAGTACTTTTTTTACATTATCACATTTTTAATATGAGAAAAGAAAATCTTTATATTTTTTAAATTTTTATCTGACAAATAATTATATATATGATGTTTTGATGCATGTATGCAGAGTGGAATTAGGCTAATTAACATATTCATCACCTCACATATAGTACTTATCATTTTTATTTTGTGGCAAGAGTGTTTAAAATCCAATCTCTTGGCAATGTTGCTATCTAAGGCTCAATGAGGTGCCTAATGTCACATAAGTACTTGGAAGAATGGCTGGGATTGAAATCCAAGATTCTGAGGCAGAACTCTTTACAGAGCAGGTAACACTAAAGAGGAGACTGCAGTGTGTAAGACAACATGTAACTGCTGTAAATATGAGCAACAGACAAGGTTAGGAGTCAGCCTTGATGATGTTTATGTCCTCAGCGTCTTCCTGTCCTCACCCTTTCAGGGTCAGAGAAGGTCAGTCAAATTTTATAAAGATCCTATCATAATTGAGATGTATGTGCTTACTCCCAAGTCAGGCAGTACAGGAACCCATTTGAACCTAGTTTGCACATCGGTTATTCTTATTTACTAAAGGGAGTAATTGACTTGAGAGATGTTCTATCTCAACTTGGACTGGCACTTATTGTTGTAGTAACTAACAGGTAATGAAGGACTACTAGCTAATGAACCTGCTGTATGTCAGTTCCCTTCCTGAGAGAGCATGTTAGTGACCCCAGGAGGTCTGCTCAGAAGGCTCATGGGCTTCTGTCCCTACAAGGACCCTGTCAAGAATCCAGGCTTTGTGTGAGAAGAATTTATTTTATGGTTTAACTTATTCCCACAGGTTCCATCAAAGTGATAAACTTCAACCCCTCCAGGCCCCAGGAGTGGTTGAGCGTAATATTGCAAATGAGATATAGGAAGTGAGCAGGAAGTTCTCTTCCAACTTTGGACTCTGAAGAAGAGAAGGAAATGGTCCAAACCTGTGAGAATTGTGAACTTGGAAGATGAGAGATTTGGGGGTGCTAGTTTTCCGTGGAAAATAATACTTGATCTGATCCTTTGATTGCTTAGACAGAGGATGGAGGGAGTGAACAACAGCAGGTCATTAGTGAATGAAGATACAATGTATAGCATGATAGTAAGTCTTTGGAGTCATGTGGAAACTTTGCTTTCTGAGAAAGGAGAGGACAAGATACTGGCTTCTCATATTCAATCATGTGACCGGTCCTCCATGTAGATCTGAAAATTTAGTTAGAAAATTTGGTCCCACTCACAGATGAGTTGTCTAGATTCTGACAACTGGAGGCCAGAAAAGGAAAGAGATAGCTCTTATTTTTATATTTAGAAGGGAATGAATGTAGAACATCTAGAAAAGAAGGATCTGAGAAGAAATAGAAGTGTAGGGATAATCCTTTATAGTAGGCAGGTATGCCTCCAAGACTCAAAAGAAACAGAAGGCAGAATTGGGCAGTGGATAGACATGGATCTGAAGTGAGAAAAACTAAGACAAAGAAATGTTGGATAATAAGGTAAGTATGCTGAACCAAATCCACCCATATAAAAGTTTGGCCCGGAAGCAGGTCTCTGGAATATTAGTAGAGAAACTTCCTATACTAAGTCTTTGATCGAGAAAGGCTTCTGTATATGGGATGGACATGTTGCCTAGGTTTGGAAAATGCCAAAAAGTTAGAGTAAACAAAGTTTGGATGAATTTTAGGATTCTGGAGAGGGAAGAAGTGCTAAGAAGTCTGGAGGGCAGAAAAAGAACACTCAGCGTCTTTCATAACTCTTTGACTTTATACAAGCAATCACTTTTGCTTCAAATACTTTTTTATTTCATTTTTCCTTCTAGAAAATTCTGACACTTTCTTGTCTTCAAATAAAAATTATAACTTCTTGCAGGCACAGTGCCTTATGCCTGTAATTCCAGCACTTTGAGAGACCAAAGCAGGTGGATCACTTGAGCCCAAGAGTTCAAGACCAGCCTGGGCAACATGGCTAAACCCTATCTCTACCCAAAATACAAAAATTAGCCAGGCGTGGTAGCACATGCCTGTAGTCCCAGCTGCTTGCGGGAGGAAGGCTTTAGCCCAGGAGGTCAAGGCTACAGTGAGCGGAGGTCCTGCCACTGCACTCCAGCCTGGGTGATAGAGTGAGACGCTGTCTCCAAAAAATAATAATAATTTAAAAAATTATGTGTTCTATGAAATTTTCCTGATTTATCACCATATCCAGTCCATGGTTCACAACTCCTACTACATATGCAAATTAGCATTTATCTTACTAGATTTGCATATTAATTACACAAATATTTATTGAGTTGTTACTATATTTCAGACATGGCTCTAGGCACTTGACATACACCAGTAAACAAAATAGAAAAGGAAAAATAATTTGCCCTTATGAGTCTTATACTCTCAAAGAAGAGAGAACCAATAAACAGTAGGAATAATAAATAAGTACATTTTATAGTTTAGAACATGATAAGTCCTCTGGAAAAAAGTTAAAAATAAAGTAGAGAAAGGCAATGGTAGTATAGAATATGGATGTAAGAATGAAGGCACAGTGCAGTTATATAGGGTGGCCAAGGTAGTTGAGCTGGTGAAATTTGAGCAAAGATGAAATAAATGAAAGAGCCATCCAAATGGTGAAAGAGATTCTAGAACAAGGAAAGAGCTACAGCAATGGCTGTAAGATGATATGTCATTGAACACATTTGATCAATGGAAACGCAGAACCTAATTTAGAATTTAACAGGATCACTCTGGTGTGTTGAGAAGAGGCTGCAGGTGGACAGATGCAAGCAGGGAGATTTGTTAGGAGTCAGTTACAGTAACAGAGGTAAGATGAAAGTGACTTGAACCAAGGTGGTAAAACAGTCCGTTCCTGGATACATGAGAGAAAGATAGAAACAAGGATGACTGCAGGCTTTTGGCTTGTCTGTTGGATGACTGCAATTGCCATCATTTGCAATAAGGAAGACTATGGGTAGAGCCCTCAGGAATTCAGTTTGAGTTGGAGGAGATGTGAGTAGGCAGTCAAACATACACGTCTGGAGTAGGGGAGAGAAATATCGCCTGAGATATGGATTCAGATATCTTCAACACATTTATAGTGTTTAAAGCTATATATTAGATGGTATTAGCAGAGGAGTTGAGTTCATACCAAAGGAAAAAAAAAAGATTAAACACTGACCCTGGGCACTGTGACATTAAAATGGTGGGGCATGGAGGAGAAACTAATGGTGGAGAATGAGAATGAATGACTAATAAATAGGAAGGAGCTGAAAGTATAGTACCCTGAGAATCAAGTGAAGCATGTGTGAACAGACAGGGTAAATCAACACTGTCAAGAAACAGAGATGGTCCAAGGAAGCTGAGGAATGAGAAATGACCACGGGATCCAGCAAATCTTAGGTAATTAACATCTGTGAGAAAGGAGGTTTTGATGGAGTGGTGGCAGAGCAGATCTAATTAAAGTGGGTTTAAGAAGGAACATAAAGAGAGGAATTAAAGGCAATGCGTATAGGCGACTCCTGGAAGAGTTTTCTTTCCGGGCATAGAAAAAATTGAGTGGTTGCTGTGGGATAAGTGAGTGAAAAGAAAGAATTTAAGGCACTTGCTATTTTGTCTGTTTAGTAAATGAGAATAATATCATGTGTTTATGTTGACAGAGTATTCCATGAAAGAGCTGTATGATAATTCGTTGTTTCTCTATGTTCTGTATTAAAATATTAGTTTGTTAACGTCAGGTGCCACATTTTATTTATCTGTTTAGTCCCTGTTCTAAGTATAATACTTAAGAGTACTGAAAATAATCAATTGTTGTTACAATGACCTCAACACAGTAGAGCATGTATATTTACTATCTACAGAAGCAATAAACCAGAAAAGAACATTTGGAGTTGAAGGAGGTGGGGAAATGGCAGAAACAATTGATAAAGAGGCTGCAGTCTGAACTTGAAATTCAGAAACATAGATTTGCTTCCTCTCTTTCTTTGGCTCTTTTATTTACTTCAACCTTCTTATTTTGACTTGAATTCTCACCAGTGTTCAAAAGAGGTCTAAATTCTGACCTATGTGCCCTGAAAGATGCTAGTAGACCTGAATTCTCATAGAGAATATGAGGGAGAAGAAGGGAGAACAATTGATTCATTGGTAGCCAGAAAGTTGAAGAAGAAAAGAAATTGAAATGAGAAATTAGAAAAAATACTTAAATTATATATACTTTGTCCAGTATAGTATCAATATATTATGAGTATAAATGATTTGTCCCTTAGACAAACAATATGTATAAATGTTAATATACACTTTGGATTTGAAATACTTAAATTTCTAGAATCTATATAGATTCTATTGAGAAAGTCAGCTGGGTTACAGAATGGATTAGGAGGGCCAAAACTGAGCTGCATTAATCAGGGAAGACTAAATATGAAGGTGAATAGTCTGAAGGAGGCTGTTGCCATGAAGGGCAGGGGGGGATGGAATTGAAATGTTGACCTCTTGAAGCATTTACTGAGAGGGCTTTACTCTGGAGGTGAGAGAACGAAGGGCAATAGTAATTTGAGGGTTGCCTTCTTGTTAGAACCTCTATAGCTCAACTTTTTTATCTGTGCTTCCGCACTGCACATCTAGGCACGTGAATGGTGAGCAATGGACACAGGGAACTGGAGCCAGGTAACAGAGTTCATCATCCTGGGCTTCCCCCATCTCCAGGGTGTGCAGATTTATCTCTTTTTCTTGTTGCTTCTCATTTACCTCACGACTGTGGTGGGAAACCTGCTGATATTCCTGGTGGTCTGCCTGGACTCTAGGCTTCACACACCCATGTACCACTTTGTCAGCATCCTCTCCTTCTCAGAGCTTGGCTATACAGCTGCCACCATCCCTACGATGCTGGCAAATTTGCTCAGTGAGAAGAAGACCATTTCATTCTCTGGATGTCTCCTGCAGGTCTATTTCTTTCACGCACTTGGAGCAACTGAGTGCTATCTCCTGACAGCTATGGCCTACGATAGGTACTTAGCCATCTGCCGGCCCCTCCACTACCCCACCCTCATGCCTCTAACACTCTGTGCAGAGATTGCCATTGGTTGTTGGTTGGGAGGCTTGGCTGGGCCAGTAGTTGAAATTTCCTTGATTTCACAGCTCCCATTCTGTGGCCCCAATCGCATTCAGCACATCTTTTGTGACTTCCCTCCCGTGCTGAGCTTGGCTTGCACGGATACGTCTATAAATGTCCTAGTAGATTTTGTTATAAATTCCTGCAAGATCCTAGCCACCTTCCTGCTGATCCTCTGCTCCTACATGCAGATCATCTGCACAGTGTTCAGGATTCCCTCAGCTGCCGGCAAGAGGAAGGCCTTCTCCACATGTGCCTCCCACCTCACTGTAGTTCTCATCTTCTATGGGAGCATCCTCTTCATGTATGTGCGGCTGAAGAAGAGCTACTCACTGGACTATGACCGGGCCCTGGCAGTGGTCTACTCAGTGCTCACACCTTTCCTCAACCCCTTCATCTACAGCTTGCGCAACAAGGAGATCAAGGAGGCTATGAGGAGGCAGCTAAAGAGAATTGGGATACTGGCATGAGTGGGGGCTGGGAGTAGGCCAGTGCTGGGGGCTGAGGATATGGTGACCCCAGGGATCAACAGTGGCCAGAAATGAAATAAAAAATTCAGTACTTTTCTGCAGGGGATGGTGGAGTTGTAGCAAGTGCTGACTGACTTTCAGTCTTACACTGATCTTCCTCCTGTCTGCTGGAGCCACATTTGGCTTGGGACCAGAGACTAGGAAAGGTACACGTTCCTTCAACAAGATGTGGTACAGTGATTTTCAAAACTTGGATGTTTATGTATCACACTTAGGATTTTTAAAAAGTCTGTGCCTTACCTATTACATATAGAGAGAGACATTTTTCAAATTTACTTGACTTAATATAAATATAGTCAGTCATGTCCTCAACAATATGTGTCAAATAAAATGTAGAATATAAAATTCATAATGTTTTATGTACCACTTACAATCATTCCATGCGGAGAAGACTGGTACAGTAGAAAAAAGCATGTTTTTTGAACTCACATATATTTGGGTTTCAATCATATTTTATTCAGTCACTTGCTAATTAATCTTTAGAAAGTAACTTAGCACCTCTGGGTCTTAATTTCATCATTTGATAACAATATTTTATTGAAGAGCATTTTGAATATTAGTGTTTGTATTTGTAAACCACAGTACACAGTGTCTGACATGTAGGTGATAGTAAAATATAAGTTATTTTTATTTATTTTATTCTGTCAAGACCTCTCATCATTACTCTGAGTCTTAGAACAATATCTAGTAAAACATAAATAATCAGAAATACTTTCCAGGTATTTCCCCACAGGAAAGGAATAAACCAGCCAGAAGGAATACTTATGAAAATCCCTGCCGTCTTGTATAAATGTAGCACGATGTAATCATTCATCAGCCATCAGCGTTTTGTATTCCGGAACACTGGCGGCTTCACCTTCACTAGATGCTGCCAAGTTGTTTCCCAGAGTCTGCCTACCATCAACAACGCATGCGTTTTTTTTTTTTATTGTTGCACATCTTTTTAAATGTTCTGTGTGGTCACATTTTTTTCTACATGGCTGTTGTGTAAACAATATGCTACTGCTTCATTTGCAGTTGAATATTGTGTGTGTGTGTGTGTGTGTGTGTGTGTGTGTGTGTACTCCTCATTTGGTTGTTTATCTTTTCTTACTTTGTGGAAGCTTTTTATATATTCTAAACAATAATCAGTTATATATACATTATTACAAATACAGATTCCTAGTGTGTATCTTGTTGTTTTGCTTCTTAATGGTATTATTTGATAAAAGGAAATATTAAATGGTTTCATTCATCAGTCTTTAAATGTATGGTTTATATTTATATCGAATTTAAAAATTTTAACTGAAATTCCAATACAATTGACTAAGCAATGCACCGTCTCCACAGGCCTGTTGTGCCGGCTATGTTCATCTTTTCCCCAGTGATCTGCTATTACTGCTCTCGCATATTTTAAATTCCATATTATGTTAATTTCTTTTCTTTGCTTCTATTGACTGTTTATTCCTACTGGTATTTTATTACAAATTTTGCTTCATAATAACCTTTAGTAAATAGTAGGACAAGTGTCACCATTTCAGTCTCCTTTGAAATGTCTTTTTCTTGGCCCTCATTCTTACGTGTCCCACTCCTCCCGACTCAACCTGAGATTTTGATTGAAATTATTGACTTGTAGATGATTGGCATGTTTATGTAACTGAGACATTCTATTCATTAGCACAGCATATGGATCAATTTATGTGTTTGATACATTCCAATATGGTTTGATAAAGTGCTATGTTTAGATGTAACACATCGTATATAGTTTTGTATTTTTGTTGATACTTCAAATGGCATCTTTTCATTACATTCTCTGTCACCTGTTACTGATATATAATAATACGGTGTTAAATATATCAGTTTGTATCTATGCACTTGCTGCACTTCACATTATAATTTGTTTTTATTTTCATCTGTACATTTAATATCATCTTTAATTGAATTCTTCCTTCTTTATAGTCTAATGCTGTGTTTCTTTTTCTTTTCTTATTTTCAAACAAAGTTTCATTTTTTTATGATGAACACCCATTTTAATATATGTGTATATATATATATGTCTGTATATAGATATATATACTTCTCTATGTACATAATTCTTGAATGGGGATAATAATATATATTATATAATATATATACATTTCTAGACACTGTTACAAATAATAATAGAAAAAGCTAGTCGATTTCCCAATTTGTTTCTTTGTTTTTGTAATTCTCTCCTTTGATTTCTGTAATACATCATTGCCCTCTTTTTCTCTCTCAGTTTCCTAAGCATTTCGGGATAAGACAGTAAGGCAAACCTAGGTTCAAATTCTTGCCCTGCCACCTACTTAGCTACCTGACTACAGGGAAGATACATCGTCATTAAACTTTAGTTTTCTCATCTTTTAAGTGGAAACCATAATGACGAATTTACGGAACTGTGAAAGGATAAAATGAGATGAAATCTAAAAATGCCTTAGCATATTTGTCACACATTTAATAAATGAAAGTTATTTACTGTTAATTCCATTTTTCTCTCACCTACCAATCATCATCCTCCAGTGTCTTCTCATATCCCCTACATTTTTTTCTATTATCTAGTGCATCCTCATAGTTCAGTTATAATCTCTACTTAAATAATGTAGACATCTGTGTCCACAGGCTTGTCATCTCTTCTGAAATCCAGTCCTTCATCTTCAGTGATAGACATTTCTACTTAAAAGTTCTCTCACATGTTCAAAATAAAATATCTATAACTCATCATCTTATAATCGTCCCTACAAGCTTTTGCTGTAGCTGGTCTTATATCTGTCAATAGTGCCATCTGGCAGACTAACTGAAGCTTATGAATCTGTTACCATTAATGTTCTTTTTTCCATCATGGGACAAATATGGTCAGGTGTCAAGTCCCGTTGATTCTTTATTCACAATTACTCCCATCTCTTCTATCCCTTAATTCCATTATTGCAGTTCTATTGTAGGCCTTTACTCCAGACTATTGCAGAATTGGGTCTGATGTCTGGTAGGTACTCAATAAATCTGAGTTGAATAAATTAATAATACTTCTTACTTCCATAATTTCTTTACCTAAATGCATTCTACACATCATCAATGCAATTTTATGTATAAATTATTACTCAAAAATTATCTCATAACTTTCTGTTATATAAAGAATATATTTTCAAAATCCCAATGTCAGACAAAGACCTCCACAACCTGCCAAACCCTACCTTCCAAATCTGTCTCCTCCCTACCATATTCTACATGCCATCTGATTGAGGCCAAGCATATGTGTTAACTATTCTGTAAACGTGGATCTTGTATTACCTCAAAATCCTAGTTGATCCTCTTCTATTAAACATACATGACTCAAGTTTAGGTGAGTTTTAGGGCTATGCATGAAAGGTTAAAATGTAAATCAATATTGATAGATAATCATCAAATTTCTTAGAATCTAGACATATAACTAGATAATTTTAACAACAGATGTAGGCATTAGATGCTTTACAAGCATAAAAAAAGAGACCCCCTGGGCAGGCGTGGCGGCTCACACCTGTAATCCCAGCACTTTGGGAGGCCAAGGCAGGAGGATCACCTGAGGTCAGGAGTTCAAGACCAGCCTGGCCAACATGGTGAAACCTTGTCTCTACTAAAACTACAAAAATTAGCCGGGCGAGGTGGCAGGCACCTGTAATCCTAGCTACTCATGAGGCTGAGGCAGGAGAATGGCTTGAACCCGGGAGGTGGATGTTGCAGTGAGCTGAGATCATGTCATTGTACTCTGGCCTGGATGCCAAGAGCAAAACTCTGTCGAGAGAGAGAGAGAGAGAGAGACAGACAGAGAGATCCCCTAAGTAGCCTACAATCAAAAAAGATTCCCCGAAAGCAGTGATGATGTATCAAATCTTTAAAAATTTGTAAGAATTGCAGAGGTGATCTGAGCACAAATATTTTGGGTGGGGAGAAGCAAATTGGGATTCTAATTTCAGGAAAAGGGAAAAGCAGAAAACGAAAACAAAAAAGAAGAACAAAAGCTGATGTTACAAAAGAGCAATGTGAGATTATAACTACAATCAGATGAGATTCTGGGACTTATGGTGTAAGGCAGGAGGTGGAGTGGGGAGTGGCACTAGAGAAACAAGCAGCAGCTCAAAGAGGGCCTGTATCCAGGAGAATTGCCTGAATCCAGGAGGCGGGGGTTGCAGTGAGCCGAGATCACGCCACTGCACTCCAGCCTGGGTAACAAGAGCAAAACTCCATCTTTAAAAAAAAAAAAAAAAAAAAAGAGGGCCTGTATCTTTCCTGTCTTCCTTCTCGAATAAACCAAGTCCTGCTAAGTTATACTGTTATGGGATCTTTGGGGTGTGCTTTTCCGGCCAGAAACCTCTGTGGCCAGTGGCACTTTTGCCCAAGTTTTGCTCTTGCCCGCTTGGCTCATTCTACCCACTGAGCCTGGAAGGTTACTCATGCTGCTGGCCTAGATCCCATGCCTGCCACGCGAGACTGCATGGAGCAGCAAGGAGTGTGTGAGTGAGGGTGGGGTCCAATCACTGTGCAGTCAGACATGTCGGCTGCTGCAGTGGGGTGGGCAGCTCTAGATGCCAGCATAGGCACCGGCTCTCCACACGGCTGTGGCTGGACCAGGTGCACCACAAGCAGCTTCCACAGCTGGCACCAGAGAACATGGGTGGTACCCTCAAACTTGGGGATGCCAGGAACCACAAGGCCTCAAAGAAGGAGTCACAGGCCGGACACAGTGGCTCACGCCTGTAATCCCAGCACTTTGGGAGGCCAAGGTAGGCGGATCATGAGGTCAGGAGTTCGACAGTCTGACCAACATGGTGAAACCCTGACTCTACTAAAAATACAAAAAGTAGCCGGGCATGGTGGTACATACCTGTAATCCCAGCTACTCAGGAGGCGGAGGCAGGAGAATTGCTTGAACCTGGAAGACAGAGGTTGCAGTGAGCTGAGATTGCACCACGGCACTCCACTCTGGGCAACAGAGCAAGACTGTGTCTCAAAAAAAAAAAACCCCAAAAACAAAAAAAGAAGGAGTCACAGCCCTGGCTTAGGAAGCTCCCAGATCTGGGCTCCCAGAATGGCCGCAACTCTTCTCTCCATCTATTCACCACAACATGGTGAGCAAGGGACATGTCTTATCCCCGTTTATGTTACAGCTCTGTTAGCCTCATTTGGTGGGTCCTGAGTTCCTGTCCTGTGCCTAGGAAGAATGAGGTATGCAGACAAGCAGAGGGTGAGCAAGACAAAGAGGAGTTTTATTGAGTGACAGGACAGCTCAGAGTAAACAGTGGGCAGCTCCTTTCTGCAGCCTGCGTTTCCAGATGAGTGTTCAGCTTCTAGCAGAGAGGTTAGTTCCTCTCTGCCAGGCAAGTCATCCCCAGAGGTATTCATCTATTGGCAGAGAGGGTAGCTCCTCTCTGTAGGCAGGTCATACTGTCATCACCCATTGTCTCTGTCATCTCTGCAGCTCTCAGCAGAGAGGAGGCCCTAGAGTGGTTTGCTCCTGTCTGTACCTCGTTATCCCTGGACTTTTGCTCTGGCTGAGCCCTGGGCTTCTATGGGTCTCAGAGGGGAGGAATTGCATTCCTATTGGTCCATGGGCAGCCATGGGCAGTCTGGAAAAGGCACCACCAGCTCCCACTCTGGTGGGGCAGCTCAGCCCCCACCCAGTTTTCAGGCTCTCTCTGGCTTGAATGTGGGGACCTTCCCCATTCTGCCCAGGAACCTGTCTGCCTCCTGTTGCTGTTCATGGCTCCCCAGCTATAAATGTGAAGGGGAATTTATAGCTTCCTCAGTGCTCCCTCAGCTTCCCTCCTATGCTTGTTGGTGCCCAAAGTCTGGAGGGGGGCAAGGCACCAAGGGGCTGGTGTATCAGCCCTGCCCAAGTGTGTGCACACCTGGACGGACTGCACTAGCACTAGGGCTCATCCCTACTTTGCTCCTAGATTGGAGTGGACATCGACAGCAGGGAGAAGCCAGGTAGCAGGAGCAGGTGCTTTCAAGCCTGTGAGGGCGGGGGGACCTTCCCGTGCCCCTAGGAGTGCAGAGATGCCTGGGTCTGCATCCATGGTTTGGGTGGCTGCACTTGCATGGGGGAGTGGGAGGCCATGATCTGCAGTCATGACTTGGGTGGCTGCAGCCCCATCCTCCTGGGTGGGGCTTCTGTCTGCTCCATGGAGCAGGTGGCCCAGATCTACAGCCTGGGTTTGGGTGAATGCAACTGCACCCAGGAACACCTGTTCCTGGGTCCCACAAGCCCAAGGATGCCTGGGTCTGCAGCAGTGGCTTGCAGTGACACCTGGGGAGCCCTCACCCCAACTCAGAAGGGGCAGGTCTCCCCCTTGTACCAGGCTCCTGCCCCAGCCACACCTTCCTGCTGCAGCGGGCCTGAAGGTAGTGGCCACTCCAGATGGTTCACCACCGCCGTCAATACTGGAAAGTAAGAAAAGGCCAAGTCTTTAAAAAAAAACCAGGGAAGATATACTTGGGCCTAATCACTAGAGATATAATCGAAAGGTAATGCCAGTGTTTACCTAGATTTGAATTTAGAGGATTAAGTTTCAATCTCTTCCATGCCTTCTACTGCCTGTGGGTGAACTGGAGAAAGCCTTTGGCTTCCCTGAGTCTCTACATCTGCAAAATGGGAATCACTGTAGTCTTGCTTACCTTATACAAATAGTTTTTTTTTTTTTTAATGTGATGAAAAGCAAACCACATAAATCTTACTGTGCTAGCTGTTTTTTTAAAGCATACAAATAGATTTTTTTAAAAATACGATGAGGTTGATTGTATCAGCAGAGGGCAAAGAAATCATAGTGAAAATGAGTAAAAGTGGAGAGGAAAGGAGTGTTCACTGATTGAGTATTCCAGAGAATCATGATCCTGGCTGAAGTTTATTCTGACTCCCACAGCTATGCCCCAGTCCCCAGCCTTATACTCTACTCCTATAGGAGAGAAAAGGTTTTGTAGTCCCAGGACAACTTATGAAACCTGACCCTGGGGAATGTCTACTAGGTAACGTTTTTCTCCTAATTTGTCCCTTAGAGGAGAGAGGAAGATACATGATTTTCCTTTAGACATTGCATCATACAAAGAGAAATTCCCAGGAAAGAAAGACCATCTTTCCATTCTAGATATTCCTTGAAGAGGCCTCAGAGACACTTATATCCTTATTGACAAGCTAGGAGAAGAGGCAGGTGGCTACAGAGATTTTGAGGAGCATTCTCATGGTGTCAGGCAGGGTAAGTACTAAAGACTGAATTGAAAGCGATTCTCTTACCTCAGTCTCCCCAGTAGATGGGATTACAGGTGCCTGCCACCACGCCTGGCTAATTTTTTTTTATTTTTAGTAGAGACAGAGTTTCACCATGTTGGCCAGGCTGGTCTCAAACTCCTGACCTCAGGTGATACACCCGCCTTGGCCTCCCATAGTGCTGGGATTAGAGGTGTGCGCCACCGTGCCCGGCAAAGTTGAATTCTCTAGCTAGGCTCAGGCTAGAT